TTGTAAAAGGAAAAATCGTCTCAGAATTCGCTCAAGAATATGGCATTGCAAGGACATCAGGTTATTTTGAATCACCCTGTATAAATGTATTAAGTAATTTCATTAAACTAGACATACCAAGCGCGCACTACGCGAGCCATTTATTTTTTTAGAATTACAAGAAAGTATATATTATATCTATATCTTTAATAAAAATATTATTATAATATTACCATTAATTACATATCATTATTATTGTCGCAATTCACAGTGCTATATACACCGTTATTTAACACAAATCCTGTTATTCATCTGTGATTAGTTAAACTTGTGATTAGGTTATTACATAAATATGTAATGTAAAATAACTTGAAAATAAATAATTAGATCGCACTTTCAGTGAGCATTTATATTAAATAAATAGAGATATGTCTTTGACAGAATCCAAAAAGTATTTAAATCAAGAATTTGGAAATGTATTAAGATACAAACAAGACACTTTGAATAATTTCTATTAAAAATAAAAAAATACTAACCGCAAATCGAATAAATTATGTGCAATAATTAATGTTTAAACAAAAGAATATACGTCGTTTGGTTTCTATGTTAAATATTTGGTTTCTCTTTTAAATATGCTATTAACGTAATCAACAGGTATACTACGTAATATAATTTATATTTTGAAAATAATTACTGCAAGCATTCAATTTTTTATTTATTTTTAAAGCAAATACTTAATAAAACAATTATAATATTATATAATTGGTGCACTCAGTTTTAAAGTAAATCAAATTTAATATTCATATTATTGAGACAAATTGATTTAAAGTTAACTTGTTCTGAAAGTTTTCTGATTGCCATCAAAGGATTTCTTATTCAGCACTGTTACAAGAAGTCGAATTTAAATTTTGGCTATGACCTCAGAACTTCAGCTGTATTAATTAAGACAAGAAACGAATTAGAACTTAAAATTTAAGACTTGATCCACTTTAAAACTGAACGCCTCAATTATCAGTAATTTTATAATTATGAGTATTTTTTATAATTTTTAAGGATATTTGCCATAATTATAAAAATTAATCTACATTGGGAGTAATTAATAATTCTAAATAATAATTATTCTTTTAAATATATTAAGCATCTCGAATTTTATAATTATTGTATTATACAATGATGCAAAATATCACGAAATTGGCGCTGTAACAAACAATTCCTTACAATATTCTACTTTCAAATAAAAAAATGCTACTCTCTCTTATAATGAATGTATTTTTATTATAATGAATGCATTATGTATCACATGAACATTTCTCAAATAAATACAATTTTACAATTTCAATTCATTTATATTTTTCACCGGCAATTAATATAAGTATTACATTTCGGAGACTTTTACAGAAATTATAGTAATAAATTCTCATTATATAAAGAGAAAAAATTACAAATATACATAAAAAGATTTTAAAAAATGTATTAAAAATTGAATATTTGAAATTAAATTCTTGTATGAATTGTCGGTATTATTGTTCTTTACAGGAAAGTCGATGATTATTTCATTATATCATTTCAAATTATAAAGTTATGAACACAGTTTATCAATTTAAAACATAATACATAATAATATTTATAATTATAGTTATTAATTACAGTTATTAATATATTTACATATTTAAAAAAAATTTAATACATTAAAAAATTATAACTTGTTCTTTTATAAAATATGGATTTATATACATAATTATATTTATTATTTTATAATCATAAAACGAATAATTATATGTCAGAATCATATATATTTTTCTTGTATCTATCTTTTATTAAATTTAAATTGTCAAAATTAAAACTACCATTGTTGCTGGTTATGATACAACTTGATCGCCGTTACCATAATTTCCATTGTCAATTTCTGGATATATCTACATAAACATTTATAATATTTACATGAAAAATTCACAAGAAAATTTAATTATACATAACAAAATATTAACGATATTATTGATAAAACTTACTTCCATTTTTTAGTTATCTCATCCAATGATGTATATCTTTAATATGGTCATTGAAATGAGTTCTAATAGGATATGCTTTTGTGACAATTATTATACTTTATTCCAAAATCTTGTTTGGTACAATATCTCCATAGCCAACAGTGAAATGTATATTTTTTAAATTGTTTCTTAGAATGTAAGCGTACGTGATCTTCTAAACTTTCAAATAGAAATAAAACATTTACAATAATGCATTTTGAAACCAATCAGTTTAAATATTTAAAATATATTCTTGATGATCCATGTAAATTTTGTTATCTTTGTTTGAAATTAAAAAACTTGTCAAGCATTCTTTTTATATGCAATGTCCAAAGTTAGACATTTCGATAATAATACATAACAATCTTTTGGTGACTTAGACATTCTATCCGTTTTAAGTGATGATACGATTTTTGGCGAATCATCCGTGTGGTGTCTTTCTTGTGTGTCTTTCGATTTATCCAAATCTGTTATTTTATGTGACGATCCAGATGTTTCAGAAAGAGAGAAATTGTTGTGACAAATATTACATTCCACCACAAAATCATCTCTTTTTGTACAATATTTCCATAGCCAACTATGATATGTATGTTTTTCTAATTGTTCCTTAGAATGCGAGCGTATGTGATCTTCTAAGCTTTCAGATAAAAATAAAACGCTTTCATTACAAATAATACAATTCAAAGCCAATGAGTTGAAATATTTAAAATATATTCTTGACGATCCGTGTAAACTTCGGAATTTTTCTTCTAGGTTAAAAATTTTTTTATGCATTTCTTTGATATGTATGCAAAAGTTGGACATATTGATGTAACAATCTTTTGGTGACATAGACATTGTGTCCGTTTCAAGTGATAAAACACATCCTGACGAACCAGCTGTGTCATGTGTTTCTTGTATATTTTTCAATTCATCCGAATGTGTCGTTTTTATATGAACAGTCAGATGAGACTCAATAGAAAGAGATATGTTGGTGTGACAAATATTACACTCCACCACAAAATCATCTCTTTTTATGCAATATTTCCACAACCAGTTGCGAAATATATGATTCTTCCGTTGTTCTTCAGAATGCGAGTTTAAATGATTTTCTACAGATTCAGATGTAGATAGAACATTTGAATTACAGATAATACATTGACAATATAATTTATTTTGATACCTGAAATACATCCATGGCGATTTTATTAGATTTTTCTCTTTTTCACATTTCCAAATTTTTGGGTGATGTTTTGATATATGTACGTTAAAAGGTGCAAAGTTTAAATAATTATACTTATTTTTGCAAAACATGCACTGCGCTTCAACATCTGACAGTTTTATATAATATTTCCACACATGCTTTTTAGTTGCAATACTTAGAGGCATTGTGTCCGTTTCAAGTGATAAAACACGTTCTGACGATCCAGCTGTGTCGCGTGTTTCTTTTAATTTGTCCGAATGTTTTATTTTTATGTGACGATTCAGGATGGATTCAATTTTAACAGATAAGTTGTTGTGACAATAATTACACTCCGCCACAAAATCATCTTTTTTTGTGAAATATTTCAACGGCCATCTGTCAAGTACATGATTCTTCCGTTGTTCTTCAGAATGCAAGTTTAAATGATTTTCTACAGATTCAGATGTAGACAGAACATTTGCTTCACAGATAATACATTGTGAATATAATTTATTTTGATACTTGAAATACATCCATGGCCATTTTATTAGTTTTTTCTGTTCTTCGTATTTCCAAATTTTTATGTGATGTCTTGATATATGTTCTTTAAAATTTGAACTATGTACATATATATATATTTTTTCGCAAAACTTGCACTGTGCTTTGAAATCCGGCAGTTTTATATAATATTTCCACACATGCTTTCTAGTTGCAATACTTTGGGACATTGTGTCCGTTTGAAGTGACTGGACGAGAGTAACTAAATTCGATATAAGAAGCTTTCTGTCGAGAAGTATAAAGGAGGACACGAGAAGACGCATAGTTTTCCATTTGAATGTAAATATTGATACGTCGATCAAACCTTGCTAACAAATATGAAACACGCCGTGACATTTCATGCCGAGTATTTGTAAGACCTACTAATATTTCAGCGAAAAAGATGTTACAGCATACCTTTCACGAATATACGGTTATGTAAGAAACATTGTACAAATAATATTGTAACTATATGTATCAAATAAACCTATTTTGAAGTTATGGTTATATCAAAAAGATACACATTATTTTTCGAAATTATATGTGCGCTAAATGAAATTCATATACTGCAGAAATAAATTGACATGATTGACTAATTGCATAAAAAAATATTATGTGTATGCATTTATCTACCTGATGTATTTTCAGATATGGCATTAACATCGTCGATTTTTTTTTGCGAGATGCTTAGAATTATTGATTTGAATTTCTTATTGCATGTCTATTTTTATTTGTCCATCAACAACATTTATAATGCTTTAGATTCGATCTTGAATTTTCATATTAAAATAAAGAATATTTTAATATTTTTTACGTATGAATATTTTTATTTTGAAGCACACTTTGACAATTATTTGTTTACGTACAAAAGTAATATCAGCGTTTCTTAATAATATAGGATATATTGAATGAATGTGCAAGAGTTTTGTTGGATTTCGTGATATAGAAATGTATTAAGTAATTTTATTAAACTAGACATACCAAGCACGCACTACGCTAGCCATTTTTTTGTTAGAATTACAAAAAAGTATATATTATATCTATATCTTTAACAAAAATAATATCATAATATCACTATTAATCATATATTATTATTATTGTCGCAATTTACAGTGCTATATATACCGTTATTTAACACAAATCCTGTTATTCATCTGTGATTAGTTATACTTGTGATTAGGTTATTACATAAATATGTAATGTAAAATAATTTGAAAAAAAATAATTAGATCGCACTTTCAGTGAGCGTTTATATTAAATAAATAGAGTTGTGTCTTTGACAAATTTCAAAAAAAATTTAAGTCAAGAATTTGGAAATGTATTAAGATACAAACAAGAACTTTGAATAATTTCTATAAAAAATGAAAAAATACTAATCGCAAATCGAATAAATCATGTGCAATAATTAATGTTTAAACAAAACAGTCTACATCGTTTGTTTTTTTTTTAATATTTGGTTTCTTTTTTAAATATGCTATTTACGTAATCAACAGGTATACTATGTAATATAATTTATATTTTGAAAATAATTACTGCAAGCATTCAAATTTTTATTTATTTTTAAAACAAATACTTAATAAAACAAATATAATATTATATAATTGGGGCACTCAGTTTTAAAGTAAATCAAATTCAATATTCATATCATTGAGATAAATTTATTTAAAATTAATTTGTTCTGATTAGTTTTCTGATGGCCATTAAAGGATTTCTCATTCAGCACTGTTACAAGAAGTCGAATTTAAATTTTGGCTATGACCTCAGAACTTCAGCTGTATTAATTAAGACAAGAATCGAATCAGAACTAAAAATTTAGACTTGATCCACTTTAAAATTGAATGCCTCAATTATTAGTAAAATTTTTTATAATTTTTAAAGATATTTGCCATAATTATAAAAATTAATTTACATTGGGAATAATTAATAATTTTAAACATCAATTATTGTAATTATTTTTTTAAATATGCTAAGCATCTTGATTTTTATAATTATTGAATTACACAATGATGCAAAATATCACGAAATTGGCGCTGTAACAAACAATTCCTTACAATATTCTATCTTCAAATAAGAAAATGCCACTCTCTCTTATAATGAATTTATTCTTATTATAATGAATGCATTATTTATCACATGAACATTTCTCAAATAAATACAATTTCACAATTTCAATTCATTTATATTTTTCACAGACAATTATTGTAAGTATTACATTTCGGAGACTTTTACAGAAATTATAGTAATAAATTCACATTATATAAAGAAAAAAAATTACAAATATACATAAAAAAATTTTTAAAAATGTATTAAAAATTAAATATTTGAAATTAAATTCTTGTGTATAAATTGTCGGTATTTTTGTTCTTTATAAGAAAGTCGATGATTATTTCATTAAATCATTTCAAATTATAAAGTTATGAACACAGTTTATCAATTTAAAACATAATACATAATAATATTTATAATTATAGTTATTAATTATAGTCATTAATTACAGTTACTAATATATTTACATATTTAAAAAAAATTTAATACATTAAAAAAATATAACTTGTTTTATAAAATATGGATTTATATATACATAATTATATTTATTATTTTATAATCATAAAACGAATAATTATATGTCAGAATCATATACATATATTTTTCTTGTATCTATCTTTTATTAAATTTAAATCGTCAAAATTAAAACTACCATTATTGCTGGTTATGATACAACTTGATCGCCGTTACCATCATTTCCATTGTCAATTTCTGAATATATCTACATAAACATTTATAATATTTACATGAAAAATTCACAAGAAGATTTAATTATACATAACAATATTAATGATATTATTAATGAAACTTACTTCCATTTCTTATTCGGATTAGTTAGTTCGTCCAATGATATTTGTCTATATTATGGTCATTGAAATGAGTTCTAATAGGAACAGATATGCTTTTGTGACAATTATTATACTCCATTTCCAAATCATTCCTTTTGGTACAATTTCTCCACAGCCAACTGTGAAATGTATATTTTTAAAATTGTTTCTTAGAATGTGAGCGTACGTGATCTTCTAAACTTTCTGATAAAAATAAAACATTTACAATAATGCATTTTGAAGCCAATCAGTTTAAATACTCAGAATATATTCTTGATAATCCATGTAAACTTCGTTATCTTTGTTTAAAATTAAAAAACTTGTCAAGCATTTTTTTATATGTAATGTCCAAAGTTAGACATTTCGATAATAATACTTAACGATCTTTTGGTGACATAGACATTCTATCTGTTTTAAGTGATCTAACGATTTCTGACAAATCATCCGTGTGGTCTGTTTCTTGCGTGTTCTTTCAATTACCCAAATCTGTCATTTTTATGTGACAATTTAGACGCGTTTCAGAAAGAGATAAATTGTTGCGACAAATATGACATTCTACCACAAAATCATCTCTTTTTGTACAATATTTCCATAGCCAACTATGAAATGTATGTTTTTCTAATTGTTCCTTAGAATGCGAGCGTATGTGATCTTCTAAGCTTTCAGATAAAAATAAAACGCTTTCATTACAAATAATACAATTCAAAGCCAATGAGTTGAAATATTTGAAATATATTCTTGACGATCCGTGTAAGCTTCGGAATTTTTCTTCCAAATTAAAAATTTTTTTATGCATTTCTTTGATATGTATCCAAAAGTTGGACGTATCGATATAACAATCTTTTGGTGACATAAACATTGTGTCCATTTTTTCAAGTAATAAAACGCGTTCTGACGAACCAGCTGTGTCGTGTGTTTCTTGTATATTTTCTAATTTGTCCGAATGTATCATTTTTATGTGACGAATCAGGCTAGAACAAACAGAAACAGATATGTTGTTGTGACAAATATTACACTCCACCACAGAATCATCTCTTTTTGTGAAATATTTCCATGACCAATCGCGAAGTATATGATTCTTCCGTTGTTCTTCAGAATGCGAGTTTAAATGATTTTCCACAGATTCAGATGTAGATAGAACATTTGCATCACAGATAATACATTGACAATATAATTTATTTTGATACCTGAAATACATCCATGGCCATTTTACTAGTTTCTTCTCTTTTTCGTATTTCCAAATTCTTGTGTGATGTTTTGATATATGTGTATGACAATTTGAAGAGTTTAAATAGTTATATTTCTTTTCACAAAACTTGCACTGCGCTTTAAAATCGGGCAGTTTTATGTAATATTTCCACACATGCTTTTTATTTGCAATACTTAGAGGCATTCTGTCTGTTTCAAGTGATAAAACACGTTCTGACGAATCAGCTGTGTCGCGTGTTTTTTGTATATTTTTTAATTCATCCGAATGTGTCGTTTTTATATGAGCAGTCAGATGAGACTTAATAGAAAGAGATACGTTGTTGTGACAAATATTACACTCCACCACAAAATCACCTCTTTTTGTGAAATATTTGCATGACCAATCGCGAAGTATATGATTCTTTCGTTGTTCTTCAGAATGCGAGTTTAAATGATTTTCCACAGATTCAGATGTAGATAGAACATTTGCATCACAGATAATACATTGTGAATACAATTTATTTTGATACTTGAAATAGATCCATGGCAATTTTATTAGTTTTTTCTCTTTTTCGTATTTCCAAATTCTTGTATGATGTTTTGATATATGTGTATGACAATTTGAAGAGGTTAAATAATTATATTTCTTTTCACAAAACTTGCACTGCGCTTTAAAATCGGACAGTTTTATGTAATATTTCCACACATGCTTTTTATTTGCAATACTTAGAGGCATTCTGTCCGTTTCAAGTGATAAAACACGTTCTGACGATCCAGGTGTGTCGTGTGTTTCTTGTATATTTTTTAATTCATCCGAATGTGTCGTTTTTATATGAACAGTAAGATGAGTCCCAATAGAAAGAGATACGTTGTTGTAACAAATATTACACTCCACCACAAAATCATCTCTTTTTGTGAAATATTTCCATGACCATCTCCGAAGTATATGATTCTTCCGTTGTTTTTTAGAATGCGAGTTTAAATGATTTTCTACAGATTCAGATATAGATAGAACATTTGCATCACAGATAATACAATGTGAATATAATTTATTTTGATATCTGAAATACATCCATGGCCATTTTATTAGTTTTTTCTCTTCTTCGTATTTCCAAATTTTTGTGTGATTTCTTGATATATGTTTTTCAAAATGTGAAAGGCTTTCATAAATATATATATTTTCGCAAAACTTGCACTGTGCTTTAAAATCCGACCGTTTTGTATAATATTTCCACACATGCTTTTTAGTTACACTACTTTGAGACATTGTGTCCGTTTGAAGTGACTGGACGAGAGTAACTAAATTCGATATAAGAAGCTTTCTGTCGAGAAGTATAAAGGAGGACACGAGAAGACGCATAGTTTTCCATTTGAATGTAAATATTGATTTGGCCATCGGCCAAACCTTGCTAACAGTTATCAAAGTACGTGATGACATTTCATGTCGAGTATATGTAATAAAAGCAAATCAATCTCGGATTTTGTTCGGATCGTTATATCCTTTGACAAATTTCGAGAGAAGAAACAATTTTCCACTATTTATCTAATTACGGTCATTTAAGTATTCCGAGCGCTGATATTTCGATGGTGCTTTTCACACGAGCGTGTAATTTTTAGTCGCGAAATTTTGTCGTAATTCCGGCGCGATTGCACTGTTGTTATTAGCGAACGTTATTAACTTACGTTATTAACTTAAGGAATGTGACGGAATTATCCCCTTCCAATTATGTTAGACACCTACGGCATCGCTCGAGCCGTACATTAATCTTTCCGCTGCGGAGATAAGCGAATGTTCACGTGTCACTTTGAACGATTATCGTCATATTATTTGCGTCTCGAGTAAAGCTTCAAATGTAACATTAGCGCGACGCTCGTGATAGAATCGTCAGACGCGATAAATCAGCTTCGCGCGTATGCATATAGATCTCTATTTATTGTCTGAAATATAATCGTTAAGTGTCATAAACGTGCAGTATTTTCTTAAAGTATTAACAGTAATATTAACAAGATACGACAATCGAAAGACGCATAGATGAGAAGTGAAAACATTTAATTCGATATCAGCATGATCAGATATACATTTACACGAATATTTACCGGATAGAGCATTTGATTATCAAAAGATATTCGACGATCGATTCAGGCGTGTGAATGGGAATTCTGAATTTATATTAATTTTACATTAATCAGTTCGTTTAATATCTTCCTTGCGTTTCTCGAGAGTTCGGATACTCGATAACAAGCGTATTACCGTATTATCGATTTATCTCTGTACCTGTCCAGAAACATAATCGCGGATTGTAATATTAATGGATGTAAACGCGGATGTTGCAACGATGCGAACAGAAAGTCGTCCCGCGCGACTCAAGGACAGTGTTACGCGTTTCATTCAATTCACAGAGCGGAAGGAGTAACACTGACTCAACATTCCGCTTAAGAATGCTCTGAGCGATCGAGTTCACGCCCGTGGTCGCTAATCATACGTAACTAAACGCGCCGGAGGAAGAGCGGAGCGCGAAACTGCGATTTCGTGACGCAACGAGCCGTCGCATCGGCGAGAGGTTAATAGGAGAACCTATTTCCGTGTTCTTTTATTCCTCTCTTTAGCTCCCGCTCTTCCCTGTGCCCTCCTACCTCCTCGTTTTCGAATTAGTCGGAGGAGTACTTTAATCGACGGCGGCGGCGGCGGCGGCGGCGGCGGTTTAATGCCGACCTTCCGCGGCCTCTGCGCCGTCCAGTAATGAAAGCAGCCACCGCGCGGCCGGTCGACCGGCCACGATAATGGCCGCAATTTGTAACCGGGGCGAGGTCAATTAATAAAGACATCAGGTCATTAATTTAATTGCGAGCGCTGCGCCGCGCCGCGCCGTGCGACGCCGCGAAAGTCACCGCCGCGAAACTCGTCGTTGAACTAACGCGCGGTGTTGCGCTACCTCTTTTCTTTACCTTTTCTCTTTCATCCTCTCTCCACATCCCTCTGCGTCCCGTCGATTTATTAACTCACACTGTAATTTATCAATTGCGAAATTCCTCATCGTCGTATACAAAAGGTCGTGGCTATTAAAGATCCACGCGAGATCAGCGAGGTGGCGATCGCCGCGGATCGAATTATCGCTCTATCTCGATGAAAATGACGCGTAAACGACGCCGAGTGATCGCTCCATCGATCGAGGCTGGTGAGAGAGGCTTGTATTCTTCTGTGAAAAAGTTACGATGCGCATTGCGACACAGTTTAGACATCGGCCCTCTGAGCGTCCGTCAACTTTTCAGTCGGCGTTACTTCGATCAGATAATAACTTTTTTAACCGCGGTGCCTGTGTGGACGTACATACTTCGGAAAATAGGGTTTCGCAGCCGGGAGAGTGCCGTGGGTTATTTCTTAGCGAGCGGAGATTGATGGATAGATGTTAATGCGATCCGGGACACATCGCCTTAAGCGGCCAGCAGTCGGAATATATGTATATATATATACTCGGGAAACGTAAAAAGAATATTGCAGTAACAGTTTGCTCAAGTTAATGTAACGGACGTGTGAAATCCAGAAACGTTATGCCATTATTAAGTAATTCATTGCGCGGCTTAAGTGTAGATTAAGTATTTTTTACATGTTGCGCAGCGGATGCAAAGTGAATGCGAGTGAATCGGATTCGCGCTTACCTTGTCTTTGAGTGTAATAAAACTTAAAGACATCGATTTGCCACTGCAATTCTATTTTATATAATGATACTTGTGCATGCTTACAAATATTATATAATAAATTTTTGAATAACGGTTTCGCGCAAAATACATGGCCAATTCTTTCTAAATAATTGAAAACATATTTTATTATTGCTGCGAATAAAAATACGTAGCTGCATTTTCATCATGCCAATTTCTTTCACTTAAACATTTGTCAACGCTCTCACACATTTTGACGTTCTTAATTCTACGCGAGAATAAGAATCCCGTTTTCAATAGCGGCCGAGTATAACGGCAGCCGCGCGAGTGAATAAACTATTGGTGTCTAATCAAAGTCGCTCAGAACGCTCAAAGCGACCTCGATTTGCAAGCACAATAAATCGGTCGTTAAGGATGGAAAGCCGGCGCTCTTCTTCTTACCCAGATTATCCGTTATTCCTCGCAGACTCCGAGGAGAGATATGCGCTGATATTCAAGACACTGTGTCGGCTTTGTTATCGGCGTCCGCGAGTTTCAATTGCGAATCACGGTGTGTAATCAAGGCGCGCGAGCGCGGACACTCGCTATTAGCTAGGCGCCTTTCACGGCGCGGCGCGTCAACCGCCGTGCGCTCGTCCTCGTATAAATCGGCCGGATATCAACGAGCGGAATGGAAACAGTGAGATGAAGAGATGTTGTGAAAGAGTCGCGCGGATTGTGCATCATCGAGATATCGTCTTTCCTTCGACGAAGCCGTCGATCTCTTCTTTTTCGTTATCTGTTTTCTCCATCGTCGAATTTTTTTCCTGTTTTTTTTTTTTTTCCTAGCGCGTATCTACTCCACGGCGCTCTTTTCTCTCGGATCTCGCCGCGCGTCCTTCTCACCGGTAATCATCGAGAGATTGTATTCTCGTTGATGACTGGCGGGTGATTACACGGCGGCCAAGCGCGAGCGCGCGAGTTCGCGGATCACTCGTACGACAGCTAATTGAAAGCGGACGTGAATCGGCACGGACGTGCGATCCACGCCGCCAACTGATTGTAGATAGTCTTGCTCCGTTGGTACTCCGCCTTTAAGATGTTCCTTTAAATGATCGCCGTTCCTATTTTCAGTTAATCGAGCTCTTCTTTTTCGCGAACTGCCATTTTTGTCAGACGAGAAAAGCAACGATGATTGTTACTTTCAGCGCGATCGCGATAACCGGCGTATCTCTGAATTCTCGTTATTAAAACTTGAAATGGCACTTAAATGTGCGAGATGCATTGTGCGCTATTATATATTCGAAGAATTTGTTTCCGAAAATAATCATCTTAATCGTCTTAAAAAAATCTCTATAATTCTGTATATAATTTTTATGTGCAAACATGTTATTAATATTGCAATTCGTCTTAAAATAAAAATAATGAGATAATATTATAAGCCGATGGATAATCATATAGATAAAAATACAGAGATATTGATACGATGGGTATGAAATACGCGATTCTCTCTCACAAACGCATACTTCCTGTCTGGCGAGTTTTAGTTTAAAGATTCTTGGAAAGAAACGATAAGTTTTCCCCTCCGTCATCTCTGCGTGCAGGATGCGCATCGCGTACACACATCTCGCGTTTGATATGTACGGAATATGAGATGCACCTCATGCATTCTCATACATTCCGTCACGTCGTCATTGGGGAGGAATCGCCATGAGGAAAGCCTTCCCCCCCTTTTCCCCCCCCCAGTATTTCTAATCACTTTTTCAACTTCTGCTCGTCTCGTAAGCCGTCTCGTGATCTCCCGAGAAAATTGCAGCCTTCGAATTTTTTTCTTCAATTTGATATCATCCACCGCCTACAATATTCGTCACTCCTAACAGAAATTCGATTCTGAAGATACAATCGTGATCATATTAGCTTGTAAAGGAAAAGAGGATGATTCGCACTTTCAAAAGTATCAAGTTTACAATCGCTCGGGCGCAGCCCGCTTCGCTCAGCGTTTTACACGGAAGATTAACGAGCCTTTAATCGCGCGTAATAACCGTCGTTAGATTGCTTTGCCGTGGCCGGTGGCCGATTACGAACTTTCAAGCTCCCGCGAAACGTATCCGCGATGACTTTCCGCGCAACGCGATAGCTTTATCGATCTTTCCGCCGTCGCGAGACGCACCGGTGGGACCTGTTTTCCCGCCGATGTAAAGTTACTCGGCGAAACGGCGAGACCCCTGTTGATTTTCCTGATGAGACCTCGAAGGGGAAACCCCGTCTCCCCCTCGATTTCCGTTCCGGAGGGTTGCCCGTCGAGAATAACTGCGCGACACTGGCGGCCGACAAATTGATGATGCCTTGGGATGTCCCGTCTCACTTTCTGCACGGAGCAATTAATGAGTCTTCAACAATTATACACGTATAAGTACCTGCTCACCGGGATTAAATACACGCGAGCAGCATCACC